TAAGAACTTCTTACAGGATGTAAACAGTTAAAGGACGGAGCCACCAAGTCCCTCCTGGGTGTTGGTCACTAGAATCCACAAGCAGACTCTCGTCTCTATGTGATGAGCAGCTTAAGATATTAACTGCAATCATCCATGTGCTGCATCCATCCTCTGCAGGGGATCAATAGCATCCAGCGCTCTGATCCTCAGGCAGCTCAGGATTGCAGGTTGCCAAACAAGCACCAGTCCGATTGGATTCAGCCACTGGGAGAGAAATGGGAGTGAGTTGCCATAGCAACGTAGTGGAGCCCATCTCAGGGATTCACACTGTGCAGAGAGAGGAAGGATGGAGACCGGTATCCGGTTAGTGTGCCAGGTTAGCAGTGGAGCTGAAGGTGACACTGAGACGGAGATCTGGTTCAGACCAACAATCTCCTTCAAACTGTAGATGTAGAAAAATCCCAGAGGTTGAAAACATAATTAAGTGGGTTTTATATTATAAACATTGACTATGGAAAGATGCAGGTTGAGATGTTCTGATTTATGCAGGTAACAAGTTTTCTTCATCAACCTAACAGCGGTAAGCAGATAAACATAAGAAAACTGACCTCTGAAGCATGTTTAACGTCTCTGAATGGTTCCTGAATGCACACACTGTATATGATTGTTCTATTGGAAAAATGTCACCTATTTTTGATGGCACCAATTTGTTTTGTTCATTTAAAATATATGAATTATTTTCTCCAAAACCTCCAAATAGTTTATTTTTCCTGGTTTCCTCGTGTAGTTTCTAAATAAATGTGTGAGCTTTATGTGTGTCGACTTGCCTCAAATTAACTTAGAAAACACAAGTTTTACATAAGAATCTGAGTTTTTTTTTTTTTTTTTTTTTGGAGTCCATCAAACTTTGGTATTAGATTGTCATGAAGGATTATCCAATTAATTAATTAACTGCAGCAACAAAAATGTTATACTTTTTGAAATTGTCCAACATGACCCTTTATATCCAGTTCTATCCTGATCTGAACCAAACAGCTTCAGGCTGCCATCCTCTCTCCAATAAATGCTGCAGCAGGTTATCTGCAAAATGTTTCCAGTTACTTCACTGCTTAGGGGGAAAATGTGAACCTCTCATTAGGACTCTTGCCTGCCACCTTGTGTCATATTTCAGACATTGCAGACAGTCGCTAATATTCCATCCATCCATTTTCTTACACGCTTGTCCCGAGTGGGGTCACGAGGGGTGCTGGTGCCCATCTCCAGCTCCCAACGGGCGAGAGGCGGGGTACACCCCGGACAGGTCTCGCTAATATTCCAATGAAATCAAAAAAGCTCCACCTGCTCAGATGCTCCAGATGTTTTATTTTAACATATAATAAAATAGTAAAACAGTAAAATGAGTAATAGAGGCAAACAATTCAGAATTTCCTGTCATTTTCAACTGTAATTTGACTGAACTAGACTAGTCCTTCAAGTTGAATGTTTTTCTTCAGATATTTGCTGCTTTTGTGCCCGTTTTAAAAAAGAAAGACCTTAAAGGAATAGTACACCCAAAACATGATTAGCCTTCATTTTCTACTCACCCCCATGCTGAACAACACTCTGGAGTACTTTTTTGAT